TACAGATGTCAGTTTTGACTTCTGAAACATCACTACTTTCCAGCCCAGAGAGCCAAAGCTCTGAAGAAATGTACCGGCAACTCTGCTGGCACATGTATACCCATGTGTGTAGCTTGTGCTACATGTTCTGAAACCTAAGAGAGTGAGCAGCCACTCTGCCTAGGAAGAAACATCATAGTAGGCATTAAAAATGGAATTGAAGAATTAGAAAATCTTGTCATACTTTTCATATTGGGATCAGGTTGAAGGTGGTTTTGATTTGATAAAAATTTTTAAAAGACTGCTGACAATGATGTCTTATGTGTTAAAAAAAAAAAAAAAGACATTGGGGTAAGAGAGAGAGACTCAAAGCAGAAAAACTTTCTTTTGGTATATCATGATCTTTCCTACTACAGGATAATTTCTTTCAGGTTTTCTTACCCAATAAGTCACTTTTTTAAAATTGGAAAAGTAAATGTAGCATGTAGATTATAAACTTAGCATGTGCCTCAGTGACCACGTCAGAGGCAGAGATACCCTCTGTTTAAAACATCCTGGTCACCTGGAAACACTGAGCCTGAATACAGAGTATATGTATTGCAACTTTAAAAAAAAAAATTGGATTTCAGAACCACAGTGATAGATATATACAATGTCATATAGCGCAGCTATTTTTGTAGATAGATTTTCTTTTCTATTAATCTACTGCACATGCTACTGCTTCTTGGGTGGGACACTTTGTTTTCACCTGGCTATCACAAAATAACTTAGAAATTACTATTCTGAAGTACGAGATCCTTTATGCAACCAGCCCAGTAATTTCTGTCATCATTGCTAACATTAAAATTGGTTTAAAATCTGGAAGAGTTTCAGAAATCATCTGGAGTTCCAGACCAACATCTTTAGTTTACATGTACTAAGTAAACTGAGTCTTACACAGATGGCATAACTTTTTCAAACTCAACCAGATATTTAATGGCAGAACTGTGGTTGGAACTCAAGTTTCTGCATTCTCAGACCAGAGCTTTTCCCATAACACTATTTTATCACTTCAAATTTTGTAAGTCAGAGGTAAGGTAGAGACAGCATAGATTTTGAAACTTGAGAATACGATTTCAAAGTTTATCTCAACAATCCACAAATCACTTAACTTCTCTGAGTGGGAGATCGTTTTAACCTAAAAACAGGAATAAAATGGGATTGACGGGATCTAGCCTAGGAGCTTGGAAATGATATAGGTGAAGCACCTAGCACATTTCCTGGAACAAGGAGGTGGCCAGGGAATGGTAGTGGTGAAAGCTATGGCTATTATTTTGATAGTTTGAAAAGATTAAGGATGTACCTTAAACAAACTTAGTTTTCTCTGTTAACATCATGGACCTGCTATAATTTATTTAACTTTTAAAAAATTATTTCTGTTTTAAGCAAAAAGTGTTTTGTAAATGTGACTGCTTAGGAAGTGAATATAATACCTTCACATTTGTCTTAATATTAGCTTTTGTGACCCTCAAAGGATACTTTTAATTTTAATATTTCAAGATTTGACATAAAAATTAAAGATTATCCTATTTATGACCTTTAAGGTAATGCACATTTTATTCATTTCCTCTTTCATACTTTGACATTAATGACTTGTTATTGGAGATGGGAATGATAGCAGCAGTGCAGAATGCTCCAGAAGCAGATTTTGTGTGGTAAATAGTTGTGTAGGTTGTACACTGAAAACTCTTGAAGATATCATTCTCATTCCTAGATAATTGGGCACAAATCTAGGGCAATGTTATGTTTTTGGTCTTAAGCAATAGCACCTTATTTAAACCAAACCCTGGGGTATTTCATCACAAAAATAAGGAACAATCAAGATGTTTAAATGATCAAAAAGTTACAGAGGTCAGAGATACTGTGAGTAGTTAGTTACTACACTCAGGGGAAGTTCCACAAACTTTTTAACATAGCCGCATCACCTGCAAAGACTATTTAGTAAAACATGCTTTCCAAAAATGTTGGGGGCGGGGTGAATATGTTTTGCAGACTAATTGTTTTATATAAAAATAGTGTTACGTGTGGTATTTCCAAAACTAAGTGAATTTCTTGAAGAATTTAAGCCCTCATGTTGCATGACCCGGAAACTGTAGCCCTTGTTTTCTTATCTGGGTTGGTTAAAACAACTAAGTTTTAACTCATTATAATATGTGTGTAGGCATGTTTTCACTTGCATCTGAAGATAACAAGATCCATTTACTTACTTATATAGGAAATACTCTAATTGGAATAGCAAAAGTTTGTCGTGATGCCTGAGTGAAATTATTCTCTTCAATCTTTATCTGTAATAGGCTAAGGTTGCTAACAGTATTTATAGGGTCATTATTTTCAACTGTTTTTTGACACCTAACAATATTATTTTAGGCTCTAGCCAAGTGGATTTCCAATAATTATATAATGTCTCTCAGTAATGATCTGTTGCTTAAGATACACATTCTACTTTACCTTTTAACACGTACTTGATAACCTCTCATTTTCTAACTGTAATTGAGGCAAATTCAGTCTTGGCTAATTAGGGGCTTTTAGATCCCCTCATACATGTTATTCTTGATGACAAATCAACAGAATTAGGGTCTATTTTTATTTTTAAATAAAGTAATTAAAAATGTGCAATTTAAAAATATTAGAATGTTTAAGGACATTACAATTATTTTACAAATAACAAGTCCAATGTTCTACCGGGGATATTCAAAATACAAAACCTTCACAACCAAAACAGAATGATTGCTTATTGAGGGTTACTTTTAGACCCACAGCCATGTCAGATGCTTAGGTATTGAATGAAAGTATATATAACAAGGGCAATTAAACTAGTGTCATATTTTAATGTTGGCCTCCTTAGAGCCACTTTAGTTCCCTCTGTCTGTTTTTGTTGCCACAAAGAAAGTCTTCCAAAGAACTTCAGTGAATGAAGAGGAGTTGGAAGTAGAGAATAACTTCAAGGAGAAAAAAACTACCTTTATAATGAACTGATGGCAAGAATGGATTGCAGTAAATAGGTCACCAAGTCAAAAAACTGAAGATGTTCAGAAGGTTCACCCTCTCCCCTTGACAAATCTATCTATGATGGTCTACTTATAGAATGGCTTTAACTCTTAATCATAGAAGATGTGCTTTAGCTATTCTAAGAAGAAACATAATGGGAATAACATCAACTCAATTTCCCTCTTCTGTTCAACAGTTTTGAAAATCACCACATTAGCAGAAAAAGTAAAAGAGAACTTGGAAATGGAACATATGCTTGTAAATTCAGAGCAATATCAAATGGAAGCAGAATTTGCTAATATGGTTTCAGTATTTTGTAAAAGAGCCAGCTGGATGGATAATTTTTCTACCCCTGCAGGGCATCAAAGCGTTTAGAAAATCATTTTTTTCACACATATTAACACTTAGCTTATTAAAACAGGTGATACTTTTTATTGTAAGATGGCCTGAGTAAAGGGTAGAAACAGAAAACATGAAAGATAAGATTCATTTTGACCACCCAAACTGACAGTGAACACTGACACAAGAGACCGTGGCAGAGAGGATGACGTAGCAGGACCTTCTGTAACTGCCACAGCTGAAGTGTCACCATGAAGCCCGTGAATTGCTGTTACGAAAACATTTGCAGTAACTTGCATAATTAAATGAAACTGCCAGAAAAGCATTTCTAAAATGCAGAGAAGATGTACATAAATAAATAAGCTTCAAAGCAAATATTACATTTAGGAATCTGTATTGTGGTGAATTATGCAAAGTTATGTCACAAGCAAAGTATCATTTCCTTTGAACTGACTGTAAATTACAAATGAATGACAACATTGTTATTTAAATTGACTGCTCTCTTAGTCTCCTTTACGGATACTGAATACGTGAAACATGATGATCACAGCATACAAAACCACAATCCTCATTTCTAGGCATTGTGATGCCTAAATGAAGACCTTAGTGCTGATAAAACTGTAATATTGCATATTTAGCACACATCAGTACTTTATATGCAGATAAAAATGTTCAACAGCAGAGTGGCAGATATTGGGCTTACTGTAGCTTATTTGTTTAACTGTAGAATATCATATTGACTCAAAACATCTTATAGTAGGGACCACATCCATTAGAACATGATTCGGTTTATGGAATGCTACAAAAGGCAAGTGAAAAGATGCTGAACACCATAGTAAAATTATTATTATCTAGCTTGTTATAACTAACCTCAGGTTTTTGAGAGTCATTCTAATGGTGACAATTTTCATGTAGAAAAGGAAGCTAATTAAGGCTTCCATCAGAAGTCAAAATAAGTATAAAAATTACCATCGATGTTAGCTGCAAATGAAGAGGAGTTGGAAATGGGGAATAACTTCAAGGAGAAAAAGCTTCTACCTTTATAATGAACTGATGGCAAGAATGGATTGCAGTAAATAGGTAACCAAGACAAAAAACTGAAGATGTTCAGAAGGCACCACGCCAGCTCCCCCGGCCCATACACCAAAAAATATATCTTTGATGGTCTATTTCTAGAATGGCCTCAACTTTTTATTTTTTTATTTAGTCTTTTTTTTGAGACCAAGTCTCACTCTGTCACCCAGGCTGGAGTGCAGTGGAGCAATCTTTGCTCACTGCAACCCCCGCCTTACAGGCTCAAGTGATTCTTGTGTCTCAGCCTTTCAAGTAGCTGGGATTACAGGCATCCATCACTACACCCAGTTATGCCTTTTTTTTTTTTTTTTTTTTTTGTATTTTTAGTAGAGACAGGGTTTTGCCATGTTGGCCAGGTTGGTCTCGAACTCCTGCCCTCAAGTGATCCACTGGTCTCAGTCTCCTAAAGTGCTGGGATTACAGGCATGAGCCACCATGCCTGGCAAGCTTCAACTTTTTAGTATAGAAGACAAAGGATCATAAAAAGGAGAGTATGCTTTGCAAACATAGCATCAAAATTCAACTTTTCTCTTTGCAGTTTATCTATGGTGTCAGCATACCTTGCAAGGGAAGTTACTTACATCAAATAACTTTTCTATATACATTTCCTCATTGACCTTTTCTCGAAGAATATCTTGGTTTTGCCGAACAAACATAATATAGGTGTCTGCCAGATCCATTCCTGGTTTCTGTTGTGAAGGAAAAGCAGGGGGAACAAAATAACATCAGGTCTCAATTGTGAAATTATTATTTAATCACATCTGAAATATAATTTTAAAACTTACAGTCATAACATGAGCTTAAGACTAAACCAACAGTGAGCATCTTCAATACATTCCATAATTAAAGCAAATAAAAGTTTATTACTGATGTTCACAACTTGAGATCAAATTGAAAATACAGAGTTGTAGATCTGTAGATATCTTTTTTGTTTGTTTGTTAAATGGCTATCTTGAAAGGCCAGTATGTCAAGCAGTATACATGAACAAATTTTTCCAAAAATTTTCCATGTGTAATTAAATTTATCAATTGCAAATACAATTTACTTTGCATCATCTCTGGCTGGCTTATCAATAATATTTAAAAATGTGTGAGTACCATGGCTCATGCCTGTAATTTCAGCACTCTGGAAGGCTGAGGCACGTGGATCGCTTGGGTCCAGGAGTTCAAGACCAGCCTGGTCAACATGGTGAAACCTCCTCTCCACAAAAAATAAAAAATAAAAAAAAAATAGCTGGGAGTGGTGGTATGCACCTGCAGCCCCAGCTAGCTAGGAGGCTGAGGAGGAAGAATTGCTTGAGCCTGGGTGGTTGAGGTTGCAGTGAGCTGTGATCGTGCCACTGTACTCTAGCCTGGGCAACAGAGCCAGACCCTGTCTCAAACAAACAAATGAAACAAAATGTAACCAAACCAAAAAGTGTTAGCTTTCCTTAGGGTGCCTCCCTCAACTATTATGGGTGTTCAAGGAATATAAACTAAACTTTTTTATTAAGCTGAGTAAATTATGAGGAAGATATTGGGGAAAATATTAAATACATTACAAAATGAAATATAAAATATCTTGTGGATTATCCATTGCTTCTACTCAATATTTACCAATATTATCTGAACAATTTATTTCCTTTTAGAAATGTGGTAAGAGTATCAATGAACTAGTTTCCTATGTAGAGCCAAAGATGTGGATTTGGAAAATACCTTTCCAAAGTTATCTAACATTTGGTGTCTTCTAATAGTAGAGGAGGTAATACAATTTCTCCTTGCTATAGATGCTACAAAGTCAGTACTAGGAAGGGATAGAAGCCTGCATGGCTGCTAAAGACTTTTTCTTCTTGATTTATATTTAGCTCTTTCTTGAACTTCATGTAGCTGGACTAGATAATGAAAACTCTTGCTTGTGCCATCTACACCTGGGTTGGTTCCTAATCTGTATTGAATTATTGATTAGAGTATGACATTAATAAGAACAAAATGATAACTATCTATCATTATGCAGATCTGCTACCAGTTAGATAGGTAGATCTATTAGATTAGGTAGATCCATCTACCTAATGATAGATAGGTAGAACTGATGCCCAAATAAGTCAGTTAGCCTTGCATCATTTCATATTCACAGAACACATCTATAACCTTTGTCAGCAGACTCATTTGCAAAAGTAAATATTATAAGAAAATTAGGTGAAAGAGGATACGGGCCATTTAACTATTACCATTGCTGGAAAAAACAACTCAAGGTATACATGTGAGTGACGCTAGGACAGTGGTCACATCTTCTCCCTAAATGAAACAGAGTTCTTGCCATTTTTTTTGGAGGGGTCATATTTATATAACATAATAAAATTGTCCATCTCTTAACCAATATATAGTATAGGCAATGAGCATGTCTTACTTATTCCATTTATAAAAAATAATTTGTTTTTTTGTTACAAAGTTATTTCTGTGCAGTAAGAATTACTGCAATTTCTTACTGCTCTTATATGTAGCCTAAAGGTCAATATATACCACGTAAATTCAAGGATCCTTTCAACATCACCCTGATACAACATTAGCTGTAACTTGAAATAACTATATAAATGTCTTTACTGGTCTTTCCTTTAATAGCATTCATACACAATGTTGGCAATCTATTTTCAATCTAATGGAGGCAACTTATCAAATTCATTCCTTCACTATTCTAATAATTCTCATGAGCAATGTTTGAAAGTTTAAACAATTACAGGTAGTCAATAAAAAAGCTAGACTGTTTTCTTCTTTGGGGCAGGGGAGACTATACATTAGTTTTTCCAGTGAAGAGGCAGGGTAATTTGTACAAAGATTACTACTATTAATACTTGAAGGAGGCTGGGCGCAGTGGCTCATGCCCTGCAATCCCAGCACTTTGGGAGGTTGAGGCGGGCGGATCAAGAGGTCAGGAGATGGAGATTATCCTGGCCAACACGGTGAAGCCCCAAACCCTGTCTCTATAAAAAAAATTAGCTGGGCGTGGTGGCTTGCACTTGTAGTCCCAGCTACTTGGGAGGCTGAGGCAGGAGAATCGCTTGAACCCAGAGGCAGAGGTTGCAGTGAACCAAGATTGCACCACCGTACTCCAACCTGGGCGACAGAGACTTCGTCTCAAAAACAAAAACAAAAACAAAAACAAAAACCAAAAACAAAAAACTTGAAGGAAACTAACTCCTAAGATACATATTTCTCTCTTTGCCTCTCAAACTTTGTCAAAATACTGAAAATGAGAACATTCAGAAAACCTACTGCTGCAGAACAAAAATGACATGAGAATGATTTTCAACACACAATAGCAAGTTAGCTCAGTATCTGAGTTTCAGGCAAGTACCCAGAAACAGGATGCTGTAATGTACAAAATACCAAGGTAGTTGGGTACAGCCCAGTTGAACTGGAAGTTGAAGAACAGACAAATGGGAGGCTTGTCTTTACTACTATTTCTCCCCACCCCAACCCCATTTGTGTTTCCATCTTTTAAAGGCCACTGCTTAGACATTCAGTTCAGTCAGTCACTAGACCTATCAGTCTCAGTGGAAACTAAGTTATAGCCAGGGAGACTGAATAATAATGACTTTAAACATTCACCATAGACACTAGGGTAATTTCTTTTCTGTTTCCTTGACCACTTATGACATTACACTATCATGAAACACTGTCCAGGAAGAGTTTATCTTCCACCATCTAAAACTAACAAACAGTTTACAGTTTAAGCCTGAAAGAAAATGAAATGCTTTTCCCTATTGGCAGATCCAAGGGCTATAATACTGAAATTTCTAAGTTGAGACAGTTCTACAACTTTATAAGGAAAGAAAAATCTCTGGTTGAGGATATGAGGTAAAGCTCATTTAAAAGTTTGTTGTAAAAAATTAAGTGTTTCCTTTTCTTTTTAAAATTGCATTTTCTTCCCTTTTGGCAAATTAAGATCCACTTGCCTAAAAAGCAAACCCAGGATTCTTACATTCTTCATTGGAATTATTTCCTTCTTTATCATTGAGCTGTTTACTTATTCTTGAAACTGTGACATATGGGAATTTCACACCTAGTGAATATATTTTCATGTAGCTTGTGGCATGAGTGTATAATCATTAAAAGAATATACATAAGTAAGAGTAACTGCAACAGCTGGTGACATTTACCAATTAGAATTATAGTTCTTTAAAACACTTTATCCTTCATTTGGTGTATGAAGGGTAATTATCTCTGATAAATTGCTGAAAAAGATGTAATTTTCCTTTTAAACAGTTTCTACATACAGTATAAATGTGTTTGGATAGAACACATTATCGCTGGTTCAATGCTCCCATGTGCTAAGACTCTGTTTTATTATGGTGGTAAAATTTATACACTGCAAGTCACTGCATCTAATTCCATTAAGTGTTATCTTAAAAGAAAATGAAGTTTAGTGAGAATAATAACAACTAAGTATGATAGTACATTTTTGTGGGGTTTTTTTTTTTTTGGTGTGTAAATGAAAACAATACATATGCGTGCACTGTAAAGACAAACTATAACTACACATTCTGATACAAATGCATGACTACCCAATTATATCAAAAGAGTGGCCTGTTAGACTTCAACAGCTGTGGATTTCGATTACCTTTTATTAAGAATATTGTATTCTAGAGAGCCATATTTAGAAATATCTTCTAAATTGGTAATCATAGTTTTCTTAATATGAGAAAAATAACAAAAACCATATAGTCAGTACTCTACGTATTAAATGCCTTAGTTCACTACACACTAACTCTTCCATCTTGTTTATTAAGACATAATCTTTAAATCAAAGTAGCAGTTCCTAAATTACTTTTAATCTCATTCAGAAAATAATAGAATTTGTCTAGCACAGTTATAGTAAAAGAACACAAAAATCTAAAAAAATCCCTCATGAGCACAAAGGGATCAAGAACTATGGGAGGAAATGAAGTATTTTAAGGTGAGTTCCTCTGACACTGTATAAGTAACTGAATACATCAGTGAGTGAATGAGTTTAAGAAAGGGTGCAGACTCCAGCATTTTTTTTTCAAGCATTAATCACTAGTTAACCTAGCAAGATGAACATGCTGTTTAAAAAGAAGAGAAAAGAATTCCTTGTTAATTATATGCTGCAAACGCTCTTGCTTCCTGCTGCTACACCTAATCCCACAGGTGCAAGTCTTCGCTTTCCCTATTCATGGGTAGGTGGGTGCAACACTGCAGTCATTTTTCACGGCAACAGATTTAGATACAGAAGAAGCTGCTTAACCTTTCACTGGAGGTTAACAATACACTACACAAACACTGTCATGGTGCCTATTTAACAAGGAGACAAATTTTTAAATATGCTATTCCAATCTCAAAGCTTAACTAGAAGCTACAGTGTAATTGACTTAATTTAAAAGTGCACTTCTCATAACCTAGAAAAGCATGCCTTGAAGAAACAATCAAGAGTGGAAGTGTAATATCCTGAGTTATGATTATCTGCATGCTTTGTAAATGAAATACCTGTGTCTGGCCATTCATTACCATTTGAGAAAAAAGGATCATGTAAGATACAAGACAATAAATAACATGTCTTTGAAATTTGAAATTGTAGTAGGAGCAATTTATATCTCAACTGTGGCATTTAAGAGTCAGTAAAAAATTATAATTGATCATAGAACATAGTTCTACAAACACAATTTATCTCAGGTATTGTTAAAAACAATATTTT